TGTTGCAATAACTACTTTTCATATTGTATAAATAAATATGCTAAAAAGATAATGCCACAAATTGTTAGGAAATTTTGCATTGTAGAAAAGGCCAATCCTAGTTACAGAACTAAAACACCAAGCTTTTTGGCATCACATTTAAAAAATAAGTACAGATGAAAAACATGCTGCTAATCTATCTTTTATATTCTTTCTCTTGTAACTCAAGCCAGCAAAATAAAGCTTAGAAATTCTATAGCAACAATGGCTTTCCTTTAAATAATGATAGAAATCTGGCTCACTTTGATTACATGTCAGCTTATAAAAGTCTTATTTTTGTAAGAAAATTTAGAGTAAAATATCTCCTTTGAAAGGGGACATTTAAAAAGACCCGTAAAAATAGGAGACAGGAAAGAAGGAAAGACAAAAACACTACATCTAATTTATCTAGAAGATTTAAGAAAAAATATTTTTGTGTTGGTCTTTAACTTTTAAGCACTGTTCCATTTGAACCTTAAAACAATATACTTCTCCACAATCTGGAATGTGACAGATCTTGCTACTCTAAAGAGGAAATCATTAGGAAAGAATCTCAGGCATATCACAAACAGTTCAGAAAAAGACTCTCCAGATTTAAAGCAGATCCATATTAGAGGAATCCTGTAAGTCATACATTAGTTTTTTTAGAATGACATGACTCATCTTAAAACTTGTATTTGTGCTTCAAAAACATTTAGAAATATTTACAATGAAGTGAATCCCCAGTGTCACCTAGAAAAAGGAGATGGCAGAGTTTTAGAATATTTCTCCTACAAGTATTTATTCAAAACATGTTAATTGAAGGCTCACTATTTAAGGTATCACTATTGGATCGTAATATGAAAATCAATAGGAAATAAGACTTATCTTCAGGGAGATTACAGTCTGATAGAGATACTAAGATGTTCACAGATAATTATATAAAGAAATAGAATTCTATGAGCCATGTATTAGGGGCACTAAGTACCACAGAAGCACAGAGGAGGGGATAGAGCTCTTGTTAGGAATACCAGGACAAGTTTCATGAAGAAGGTGAAATAAGAGGAAAATATTGCAGGGAAAAACAGTGAACTGAACATGTGTGAAGTAAACCAAAATATTTCCAGAGGACTTTAATGGGCACAGTAAGGAATTAGGGAGGCTGAAGAGTCATTGAAAACACTGTGAGGAAGGAAGGAACATTATCAGAACTGAACTCTAGAAAGATTAATCTGAAGAAAGTTGAAAATAGATTAGAAAAGAAGAAAAACCAGAGATAAGGAGACTTGTTTTGTTTTGTATTTTGGCGGGGGGGAGAGTAGAAGGTTCAGGCAGAGGGAGAAGGAAAGGGCGAGAGAGAATCTTGAATAGGCTTCACACACAGCACAAAGCACAAGTCTGGGCTCGATCTCAAGACGCTGAGATCATGACCTGAACCCGACTCAAGAGTCAGACGCTTAACTGACTGAGCCACCCAGGTGTCCCTAGAGAGAAGGAGAACTGTTTTAGATCAATCTAGGAAGAAGGCATGAAGGGATGCCAGTTATCTAGTGTGATATTGAGAGTTATAATAAAATATATATTTGGTTCTCATCACTGTTTCCCTTGGAATTTCCTAAGTGATGGGAGCTATAAAAGTGTCTTCTGTTATTTTAATAAGATGACCTTTGGACAGATTCTAAGAATGGGGGTTTGTTGCCAGTGAAGCCAATTATATGATCAGGGGGTTGGAAATTTCAGTTCCATCACCATCTCCCCGAAGGGGAGAGGGCTTGTAGGACTGTGCCTATGTAATGAAACCTCCATTAAAAAACAAAACAAAACAAACAAACAAACAAAAAAACAGAGTTGGGGGGAGCTTCCAGCTTGGTGAACACATGGACATTTGGGGAGAGTGGTATACTCCAAGAGGGTGTGGATGTCTCTTCCAACATACCCTGCTCTTGCATCTCTTCCATGTGGCTGTTCCTGAGTTCCATCCTTTTATAATAAATCGCTCATCTAGTGAGTAAGCGGATTTTCTGAATTCTGTGAGCCACTCTAGCAAATTAATTGAACCCAGGGAGTTCAATTGAGCCTACAGTCCGTAGGTCAGAAGCATGGATAGCAACCTGGGCGTGTGACAGATATATGAAATGGGGTGGTGGGGGGAGTCTTGTAGGACTGAATGCTTAGCCTGTGGAATCTGACTCTATCTCTGGGTAGACAGTGTCAGAATTGAGCTGAATTATCTATGGGACACCAAGGTGGTATCCCAAGAATTGTTTGGTGGTTTGGGGGTAACACCTCCCATCCCAATCACACACATTGGAACTGGGTCCAGGAACCCAAAGATTAGATGAGAGGGAAAGAGGGCCTGGATTTAGATAGTAAGAACAGGATCAAGAGGAATACGGTTGTGCATGGGACATAGTATATAATACTCAGCCGTCCTTCAGTAGAATTTAAGCTAGTAACTAGTAGCTATGTAAGGGAGAACTAGTAACATTTGTTGCTATAGCCTCAGTGCTTAGCACTGGGCTTGACACATAACATTCTCTAAAAACTTTTGACTGAATGCCTGGAATTTGAAGGTGAGGAAGTGTTGGCTATCATTTGTGTAATTGTTACATTTCTATCAGAGATGTGGTAATACATGTTATGTCTACCCAACCTCTGGTGATGATGTGGGTTTCTTTTCATAATAGATATTTAAATAAGATGCCAAACGACATATTTCCTAATAGGGAATTGAAGTTTTAAGACATTAATGATCTCCATTATTGCCTAAATGGCTTTCAGCTGTGTTTCACCATCAGACAAGTTAAGTTCTTTCCATTAAAAACTAAATGTCCTGAAATCGTCCTAAATTTATACTTTCCCATTTCTAGAAAGAGAAGACCCATAATTTTAAAAATCATTCTCTTAGTTTCTCTATAACTAAGTTCCTAGGCCAAATAAAGGAACAAACCCTTAACTGGGATAGAATTTCATAGGGTATTATGTCAGGAAACAGAGCTTTTGAGGGAAACACTATTGATTAACTTGCAACCAAGTTTACTGACTTAGTGGAAAGATTGATGTAAACTATGGGAGGTAGTGGTCTTCTCCTCCTCCTCCTCCCCCTCCTCCTCCCCCTCCTCCTTCTTTTCCTTCTTTTTCTTCTTCTCCTCCTCCTCCTCCTGATTTTACTTATTTTAGAGAGCAAGAGAGAGCTCTAGTAGTGTGAGGGGCAGAGGGAGATGCATACTCCCCGCTGAGCAGGGACCTCTGACTCCGGATTCCCAGATCATTACCTGAGCCAAAGGCAGATTCTTAACCCATTGAGCCACCCAGCTGCCCCTGGAAGGTGTAGCCTTAACAATGGCTGTTTATTTAAAATGCCATTATTTGCAAAGCAAATATATGACGCCCCCCCCCCCCAAATCCCACCACATACTGAATTAGATATACTTGATTCAATTCACTTGATGGATTGTTATCTTATATATTTATTTATTTTTGTGATCAGTTTCCTGATTTGTCTTTTTTTCCCATTTTCTTGAGATACAATTGACATAAGACATTGTACAATTTTAAGGTGTAAGATAATGATTTGATATATGTATATGCTGCAAAGTGATTACCAAAAATGTTCAGTCAACACCGTTGGTGGATTTTTTTTTTTTTTTAAGATTTATTTATTTGACGGAGATCACAAGTAGGCAGAGAGGCAGTCAGAGAGAGAGAGGAAGGGAAGCAGGCTCCCTGCTGAGCAGAGAGCCCGATGCGGGGCTGGATCCCAGGATCCGAAGATCATGACCTGAGCCGAAGGCAGAGGCTTTAACCCACTGAGCCACCCAGGCGCCCCCGTTGGTGGATTTTTAATCTGATCATATTTCTCGAAGCCTAAAACTAATTCATTGGCAATAAAATCATTTTGTGATATACTGCCTTGATACTTTCTACTTTTATAAAGTAAAGATATGTACCACCCTCAGGAATTAAAACAACAAAAATATATAGTTCATATCTGTAACTGGGCTTTTATTATGACACAGTCCATTCCATCAAGGAATTCCTAATCTGGCTAAGGACATAAACACATAAAAACCAAATTTTTGTGTAAGAATATAAATAAAGTCATACAGGAAAACAGAGATGCAAATGATTATGGCCTGTTACTTAGGAGCATACAAGTTAGGGTGCCAAAGAGGAAAGAGGTGAAGATGGAAAGTGGATTTGGCCTGAGGTACTATGTAAGCAAGAGTCAGAATAGGCTTTTAAGTAAGCACCTCCGGGAGGATCATGTGTGTATTTCAGAAAGCCCACACTGGCTAACAGTGTGTAAGGGAAGTTAGGGATGCCTGACCTAGTCCGAGTATGACCTTATTGGAAGTAATTTTGACAAACCAGTACTAGTTATCAGTGTATTAAGTATTTACACTCCAGGAGCCCTCTACAAGCTTACCGTTGACTACACTCACCTTTTCAGAGATGCTGAGCTAGTAAACTGAGCCAAACGACCTGAATGAACTGAAATTCCAACTCTTAAACATGGCATATACTTTCCAGAGAGAAGGAGAGATAGCCAAGGTTATCACCTAAGCCCATGGCTGTCGGACTAGAGAGGAAATAATTGCCCTAAAAGATGTGTTAGAGGCAGAATCAAAAAGGATTTTTGAGGACAAAATTGACTTTGGATAGTGAGGGAAAGAATCTGAGGATGCCGAGTTGATAATTTGGGGAGGGGGGGGGTTGGCTGACACTCTACTCGGGAAGGGCTGGGAGAAGGATGATCATGAATTTCATTTTGGAAAGCTGGTTTTGAATTGCCTTTTGGGGACATCAGGGTGAAGAGAGCCAGTATTGAGCTGTAGATACTGCTCTGAAGCCCCGAAAGAAATGAGAGACAAGACGAGTGACTGGCGGTCTTGAATAGGACCGAAATCACAAAAGTGAACAAAATAACCCTGACTCAACAAAGGCACCCTGGCTCAAGTCCATTTTTAAGGTGGAAATGTCAGAGGATAAGGTGGAATAAGATGGAGGATCCAGGTGAGGGTGATGTCAGGGACGCCAACTGCAGCATCCAGAAAGAAGGAAGGGAAGAAAGGTGGAGATCTCAGAAAGGAGGAAGAGTTCAATCAACACTTCAAATGCTGCAGAAAATAAGCAGCAATTAAACCACAAGACCTGTTGACAGGAAAGAATGTGGCTCCACACTCAGCCACACGAATGAAGGTTAACTCAAAGCTGTGTCCGCTGAGGGCTGTTCACAGCCACCTGGTGGGCTTCTGTTTCTTTTTCACGAGAGGCCGAAATTTCCCGCTCGGGTTCTCCGTCACTGCCCTCCCCTTCCCTCCCCTTCCCTCCCTTCTTCCATGCTGACTGCCTCCTGCTCCTCCACACACCAACGTCGCGGGGCTCGCCTCCCACTGCCCTTCCCACCCGCCGCCTCTCAGCGTTTCCATGGAGACGTTCTCTTAAAGAGCCGAGGGACAGGGCCTCCAGGCGGGAACGCGACCCGGCGGAGCCCGAGCAGCGGCGGAAAGAGCTGGAGCCTCGGGGAGGAGGCTGCAAGGAGCGCGGCCGCCAGGTGGGGTGCGGCGGCGAGTCAGCGCGCCGTGGTCTGCGCCTGTGCGGCCCCGCACCTGCGCGCGAACCTTGCGAAGCGCGGGCGGGGCGGGCGTGGGCTCCTGCACAAACTCGCTGCTGCGCTGTGCGTCCCGCGCCCTGACTTCAGGGCTCTGCTCTCTGCGCGGTACCACCCTCCCACCCCACCCCGACCCCAGCGCAGCCATCCTTACAACCGGAGTCCTTTTCTCTCAACCCTGTTCCGCACTCCGTCCGCCCAAAGTTGGCTCCAGCGGCCTCCTTCTAAACCAGTGCGCCCCAGGGCAACCGCTCTCTTTCTCCATCCCGGGCGCGGACCCTGTGACTCAACAGATATGAATTTGAGCGGGGATTTGGACGTGACGAACAGGCAGCCGAGAGAGATCTTTCCACTTTGGCCTTCTTAGGAGGGTGCACAGCTTTCGCAATGCCAGTTCACACCTGGACAGCTGGCGCGGGAGATGGATACCGTAGCCCCGCGGATAGTACAGTTACCTCAGGTTGGGGGAGAATGAACAGGGTTAAACATTGCACTTTTGTGGAGGCGTCTGGATTGGATTATTACGTGTTTTTTAACTGGGTTGAATTTTATCTGAGGTAAACACCGTGACAGGAACTAAAGAGGATTTTGTAGGGAGGAATTCGCTTTACAGTGGGCCCTCTAGGGGTTTTAAAATGGATCATGGGTACCTGTTTAAGTATTTTCAGTTTTAGAAATATGTATAATACCAAGTGTGTTAATTTTTTCCGTTATATCTTTCGTTGAATGTAAAGGTCTCAGTTACCCAGGGAGTCTAGATTCCTAGGAAAAGTGACACAAGCTTTTTAGATAAATGCGCTTTAAAAATAAACTAAGTTGAAAAGAGTTAAATGTTTTTCCCATTTCATCAATAGTTTTGAAATATTTTTCTTAACGATGGTGTAATGTTAAAATGTGAGAAATTACTTCCATGAAGTAGCAGTGTGTAGGTGTTCTAAATTTCCAACAATTAAGATTAAATAGTTTCACACAATGTGATACAATTTCCTGTAATTGCCTGATAATTCATTTTATTTCTGACACCTCCTTTATACTTAATTATAGCAGCTTCTAGAAGCAAGTTACTTTGTAATTTGTTGGAAAGTACTGGCGATTCCAGTTTTATTACATGGAGGATATTAAGCAGCACCTGCTTATTAATGCCTTAACACTCAGTTGCATGAACAGTCTAACTTGAAAAGATGACATTGAAGTGATACACATACACATCTAAAGAAGGTCCAATGATTTAGTTTTGAGGCTAAAAAAAATACATGTTTAATTGAGCTGAATATACTTTATTTTTCAGATGAAGAAATCAATTATTCTATTGCTCTGGTTACAATATGTTGTTAAGGTAAGACATTTTTGAGCATTTAAAAAAAATTATTAGGGGCACCTGGGTGGCTCAGCCGGTTAAAGCCTCTGCCCTCAGCTGAGGTCATGATCCCAGGGTCCTGGTATCCCCTCATCAGGCTGTCTGCTAGATGTTGCACAGATTTGTACATGTAAATGGCATCTGTTTTCACTGCTTACACATTGTGTCAGGAAAAATCTGTGGGGAGAGCGATCAGAATTTGGTAAGATTCATGGTATAGTGAGGCATTTTAAAGTTGTTTTTGGTAGGAATTTTGATTAAGTATATCATTCTCTTGAGGTTTGAGGTGTTTTTTTTTTTTTTAATCATCGAGGGAATACATCTCCGATCCTGTGGTCTAGCTGTTTTGTCTCAGTTGCTAACATTTTCTTTCTGTAGCAATAAACTGAACCTCTGAAATAACAGAATCAAGCATTTTTTACTCTAACTTATTTCTGTTGCAAGTGTGTTATCAAGAATGTCTGTGAAATAATTTAACTCTGTAGCCATTATCATCAAAGTACATAGTGGACACACCAGGAGGGTGTGCTGTGCTTTTCCTGTGATTTTGAGTCTCTTCTTTCTCCCTGACCCCAGGAACATGGTGTTTCCAACTTCGAGAAACATGGATCTTGAATTTCCTTGCTTTCATTTTTACTTATCTTTCTTAAGTCATTTTCAAAATTATGTTTACAAATAAAGTATCCAATGGGATGTTACCTAATTCATGCATAGAAATTGAGACTGCTGAAATACTTTTCAGTTATAATTTGACATATTATGGGCTTAATTTTTCTAAGTTTTCTAATAAAATAGAAATGGTTAATAATAACCAAGAATGCATTTTTATTATATCTTTACAGTTACTTTTCTTTCCCATTTCAGATCTCAAAAAGTTTCTGTCAGATGCCCATGAATAATCAAACAACAGCAGTTTTTATTGAATGGGATGAATTTCCTAAGGCAGGAAATCCTGAATTTTATTTTTTAAAATACCAACTTGTTAATAATTTTGCTGAAAAAGTAAGACATCTTTTTTTTTTTTTACTCTGATAAGAAGTAAGCATAATGTAAATTTATTGGGACTAAATGTCACATCATAGTAGGAATTTGATAGTTATTGATAGTTTTTCTCCAATTTTATTGAGATAATAATTGACATATAACATTGTATAAGTCTAGGGTCGCCTGGGTGGCTCAGTTGGTTAGGTTTCTGCCTTCAACTCAGGTCATTATCCCAGGGCCCTGGCAACCAGCCCTGCATAGGGTTTCCACAGAAGGAAGCCTGCTTTTCCCCTCCCTCTACCTGCCTCTCCTACTGATTGTGCTCTCTCTCTCTAAATATGTTTTAGATATATTTATTTATATATAAAATATATTACTATAAATATATAATATTTATAAATATACATAATAAGTATAAAATATATAGGTATATATAAATGTATATATAAATATATAAATGCATAAAAATATATAAATGTATTTATTTAGATAGAAAACCACCCACGCATCCCAGTAAAAAAATGTTTAAAGCAAACAAACAAAACATGTATAAGTCTAAGGTATATATAATTTGATATATGTGTATGTATATGTATATATGATATAATGATTTGATATTTGTATATTGAAATGATCTGACATTTGATATTTGTATACTGTATATGGCAAAATGATGACCACAGTAAGTTTAGTTAATATGTATTAGCTCACATAATGACAAGTAGTTTTTTTCCTTATGATGAAAATTTTATGATCTACCCTGGAGCAACCTTCAAGTACACAACAATATTGTTACTTATTTTCATCATGTTCTACATTATATCTCCAGAAATTATTTATCTTATAATTAGAAATTTGTATCTTTTGGTTATCGTCACCGAGTATTCCCTCACCTCTGGCAACCACCACTCTGATCTATTTGTATGATTTTAGTTTTCTTAATTCTACATATAAGTGAGATCAGTATTTGTCTTACTCTGACTGGTTTCACTTAGCATAATAATACCTTCAGGGTCCATCCATGTCATCACAATGGCAGGATTTTCTACTTTTTTATAGCTGAATAGTATTCCCCTGTGTGTGTGTATGTCTGTGTTTGGGCATGTATATACCAGATTTTCTTTATCCATTCATCTATCAATGGACACTTTTGTTGTTTTCTATATCTTGGCTATTGTAGATAATTCTGTAGTGATCTTAGGGGTGCTGATATCTCTTTGGGATGGTAATTTTGTTTCCTACCCTTCTGGTAGTTTTAATTTTAATTTTTTTTGAGAACCTTCCATACTGTTTTCTAAAGTAGCTGCACAAATTGATATTCTCAGCAGCAGTGCACCAAGGGTTCCCTTTTCTCCATATCCCTACATAGCATTGATGATAGCCATTCTGATAGGTGCCATTTGGACACTGTAGTTTCAATTTGTATATCTCTGATGACTAATGATATTGAACACATTTTCATATGCCTGTTGGACATTTGAATATCTTCTTTGGAAAAATATTTCTTCGGGTCTTTGCCCACTTTAATTGGATTATTTGTTGTTGTTTGTTTGCTTTTTGTTATTGAGTTATAGGAGTTCATTATATATTTTGGGTATTAACCCACTATCAGATATGTGGTTTGCAAATATTTTCTCCTATTCCATAGATTGGCTTTTTCTTTTGTTGATCTTTTCTTTTGCTATGCAGTTATTGGTATTTCTTACTCTTATTTCATTAGTGTGTGAAATGTGAGCATTTTATGAAATATCTTCAATAAGTAGTCGATCAAATTATCCTTGAACTTTTTCATAGGAATGATTATATTTTTAATAATTTATGTTATACAGAGAGTAATTATTTGAGGTTATATAGTTTTATGTAAAAATAAATATTTCATATATATATTTGTATTCTATTCGAAAAATTGCTTCTTATGAAAGAAATATACAAAAGTCAAACTTTTAATGAACATACCTGACTCAGTTAATAAATATTCCCTAAGCAGATGAATCTAATTATTTACAGAATATCAAAAGCATTCTTGTAAGCCCACAAGAGCTTTCAAAATCAGTAACATTAGAGGAAAATGAAGACTATCACATCATTGTACAGTCCATAAAATATGGACAAATTTTAAGTGAAAAGTCATTTAAAATCCGTAAGTAATATGTATTTGTTGTTTGTCTGTATTGCCTAATTGTAAAAGGGAAACAATTTTATTACCAGGTAATCTGAATTTTGTAGTAATTAACAGTCATATAATGGTCAAAAATTACATCATGATGATAGTGTTTTGTGTCTTTTTTAACATAATGTAAATTTTAAAATTTAAAGGAAATTATAAACTAAGAAGAAGATTTTAATTTCTGATATTTGATGTGTACTAATATGAATAGATAGGCATAGCAGAGATGTTACATGCAATCCAGATTATCTAAAAATATTATAATGTGGATTTGTAATCTAAGTCATTTATTTCAAGGAGGGGACAGGAAACTCTCATATAGTCTAGAAAGTATTTCATAGTAGATAATTTGCTCTCCCATCATAGTGATTCTTTTGTGGCTCAACATCTTTTGTGTTTCATTCAGTTTTATTTGAATCCAACTAATTATTGTTCTTGATTTTTTTTTTAGGTAGTTTCTCAACTAGCAATATTAAAACAGTAGTGACAAGCACGAGTGTTTCTTTTAATTGGAGTTTGCTGTCTTCCAATGACATTTCAGTGTCAATATCTTTCAATAATTCTTCACAAATTATGCCAAATAATGTTACAGTTTATGAGTGGGATAATTTAAAACCTAGAAGCCTATATGCTTTTAAATTTGAATTTAAACAGTTGTATTTGGATTTTATAAATATATTGCAGAGACTGGATGTTCAAGTAGAAACAGGTATGTAGATATCTGATTCATTATTAATATATTATATATCTTGTAGATAACTTGGTAGATGTATTGTTCTTTTCAAAAGTGGCTGAGCCAAGTATTAGCTACAGGAAACTGCTTGTAAGTGAACCAGCATAGTTCCTTTTTTCTAACTATATCATTCTGGTATTTGACTGATTTATTGAACAAGCTGGATTTAGAACTTAACAAGCTGGTTAAGAACTTTGTTTCCTTCCACCACTTTTTAAAAATGAAACCAAGTGGGTTCTCTTTTCTTTAGTTCTGGCAACTATTGATAGCTTTTTTTTTTTTTTTTTAGTTTTTTTTTTTTTTTTTTTATTTGACAGAAAGAGACACAGTGAGAGAGGGAACACAAGCAGTGAGAGAGGAAGAGGGAGAAGAAGAAGAAGGTTTCCTGACGAGCAGGAAGCCTGATATGGGGCTCGATCCCAGGACCGTGGGATCATGACCTGAGCCAAAGGCAGACGCTTAACTGACTGAGCCACCCAGGCACCACTATTGATCGCTTTTTAGGTGACTTTAAAATATCAATGAATGGTCTTATCTTCAGGTATTAATAGATCCATTAAAATCCATAAAAATATCAATCTTTCATCCTATATAAGGCTTCTTCATTATTCATCCCCAGTCGGACGTGACCAAAATTTGGAATACTCCAAGGGATAAGGGAATGTGTTTAATTTTTTTGTGGCTTCCTAGATCCACTTCCTTCCTCCACATGGTGAAAAAAGATTTAAGAGAAAAGGAGAGAGTCATAGACCCTAATAACGGCAACACACTGTGATGGGCTGTGTGCTATTTTAATACCCTATATAGGAATAAACTTTGAACTCCAGTATACAATTACAAGTGAAAGAGAGAAACACGTCAGTAGTAAGAAAAAGATAGTAAGGTAATTAAAGCATCCCCTCTTCCCATCCTCCTTCTCCTTCCTGTGAAAAAAGAAGACAACAGTTTGTTCAAAAGATCCTTCTTACATATCCCCAATATGTTGGGTTGAAGCACTGATAAAATATCTACTCTCCCGGCACCTGGGTGGCTCAGTGGGAGCCCGCTTCCCCCAGCCCCTCTCTGCCTGCATCTTTGCCTACTTGTGATCTATCTCTGTGAAATAAATAAATAAAATCTTTAAAAAAAAAAATCTACTCTCAATAGGTTGGTATTTTCCCCAGTCTTTCCATGGTGTATAATCTTAGAGAAAAAGTCTAAGTGTTTTCTGGAAAGTGAACCCATTTGAAGTCAAGTAGAAATAGCAGAGAGCAGAATTCTTAGCAAGTGTTATATCTAGTTCTCTAAAATAAAGATAAACCTGAAAAGTCTCTAAAATATACACTTAAAAATTCTCCGCCAACATAAGAGTGATAGAAAGGGCAAGCTAAAGTGACTTAGAAAGAAAAGAAAAAAAACTGTGGTTTTATTTTAATTAAGTTATAATTGGACAATAATTCTGCATAATTAATTCTTAGAAACTACTTAAAACTATTTTGATTGTTTGTCACCCATTTGCTACTTGAATAATAGCAACTTTAGCGCTTTTACTGGTTTGGGAGAACTACAGGGAAAGTGCACAATTAATGCTATGAGATTTTCATGATTAATTACTATAAATGTTAAGAAATGTACTAATGAAATGTTATATTACTGAATTCATCTTTCACAGAACATTTTTCTTTTGGTAGGTTCATGTTCACGAGGATGGCTAGCATTAAGAAACAGCTGTTACAAAATTAGCAAAGAGAGTGTGCCATGGAATATAGCCCAGCGACGCTGTAGGTTATCCTTAAGTTCTGCACACCTTGTGGATATAAAAAATGAAGAGGAAAAAAAATTTATAATTTCACTTCTCAGGTCAAAAAATCAAATAATAATATGGACTGGTCTTAATGACTTGAAGGTTAGTCAATGTAAAGAAGTGCATATATCATGATAAAGCTATGTTTCCTTCCTTCCTTCTTCCTTCCTCTCTTCCCTCCCCTCTCCTACCATTCTCTTCCGTTCTCTTTCCTTCCTTTTTTGCTTTCCTTCCTTTTCTCCTCCCTCCCTCCCCCTCTTCCTTCCTTCTTCCATCATGCACTAAATATTTAGAGTACTTCTTATAAGCCAGACACTGTTTCATTCTCCGTTTCTCTATCTCAATCTTTCCCTCCCTCCTTGCCTCCCCATCACCTTTCTTTAGAGCAGTTTAGGTTCATAACAAAATTGAGGGGAAGGTACAGAGATTTCCCACATACCCCGTCTCCACACATAAATAGCTTCCCCCATTATCAGCATCCCCCACCAGAGTGGTACAGTTGTTAACAACCGAGGAACATATACTGGCAACATTGTAATCACCCAAAATTCATAAGTTTACATTATGGTTCACTTTTAGTACTGTATATTCTCTAGGTTTGGATAAATGTATAATGACATACACTGATTATTTTGGTATCATGCAAAATACTTTCATCCACCTAAAATCCTCTGTTCTCTGCCTATTTGTCTCTTCCCACCCCCTTCACTCTCTTTGTAGGCATCTATTTCTTTCCATGATTTTGTTTTAATTTTGGTCTTCCCCAGACCTGTTTTAAATGTGGATGATGTCACCCATTTCTTATTTACCACCTAGCTCAATTGTTCTTATGTATTTACGTAGCCCACTTTTCTCTTCTGCGTTCCAGACATCAAATTTTCTTCTTTTTTAAAGAAGATTTAAAAAAAAAAAGATTTTATTTTTTTCTTTGACAGAGAGAGAGCACCCACAGGCAGGGGGAGTGGCAGACAGAGGGAGAGGGAGAAGCAGGGTCCCCGTAGAGCAAGGAGCTCAATGCGGGGCTCCATCCCAGCAACGTGGAATCATGATCTGAGCCAAAGGCAGGCTCTTAACTGACTGAGCCACCCAGGCACCCCTATCTTATTTTCTTCTGATTATCTCTTTAGGAATTTTCCACAGACACTTCAAGATTGCCCAGACTGTCCTTTCCTTCCTGCCAACCTGCTCTACTTCCTCTATTTCTCACCTCTGTGAAAAACAGAATAATGTGAAATTGAAACTATGGAATATAGAAATTTTGTTCATTTTATTTTTTTATTTAAAACACCCAGGTTCGTGCTCGTTTTGGCAGCACATATACTAAAATTGGAATGATAAAACATCCAGGTTCATGAAATTTAATTTTACTAAAAGAGTTATAGAAAGATCTAAAGATCTTATACAATACCAGTGAAATAAGGAATGTGTGATATTTTCTCCCAACATTCTTATCACTATGGAAAATCTTACAAAATTTCATTTTGGTCAGCTTTTTGTAGGAAAACCCAAGACATAGCATAGTTATCTCTCTCTACTCTGTGTTTTCTTCTTGATGATCCATTTATTAAAAATTTCCTTCCACTCAAAAATAAATCTGTTCTCTACCAGATAGCCTGACCTCTAGGGACCCAAGACACATCAGTTTGATACCATTTTTTTTTTCCCCCCTGTGGAACTTTGCATCAGCTTGAGGAAAACTATTGACAGTCTTTTTTTTTTTTTTTTTAAAGATTTTTAAAATTTCTTAGAGAGGGTGAGAGGGACAGAGGGAGAGACAGTCTTAAGCAGACTCTGTCCTGAGTGCAAAGCCTGACTTGGGGCTTGATCACATGACCCTGAGATCATGACCTGAGGTGAACCCCGAGAGTCCTAGCTTAAATGACTGTACCACCCAGGTGCCCTTTATTGACAGTCTTTAATCGCATTTTCATCATTCTCTTTTGGGGCCTCCTTTATCTTTTCACAGTCAGGGAATGAAGTTCTAATAAAGATTCCTCAAATCACAGTTCATCTCTGACTCTCCCAAGCCGGCCTCCCAGCATGCAGTCTCTTTTCAAGTAGACCAGTTAGTGTATATATATCGTTGTTTCCTGCTGTTAGCATGATTGTTATAAACTGTTAAATTAGAATGTACTCTTCTAGTAGTTCTTGTTACTGGTTTCTAGTATCAGGTTCAGGTCATATGGTCATGACAGCCAAAGTGAGGGTGCCCAAGGCATCATGATGGTTGCTGTGAATTATTCAAAGGGGTCTAAGATACAGTCTCTGCTTTTATGATACTTAAAAATAATTTAGGAGGTAAATGAAACGTCAAAGTAACTATTAAGAAAAACTTCCTTTATAATAATAGCTGAGTCCTATAGTGTCTCCTAAGTGCAAAGCACCATTCTGTGTTTTTTACTTGTATACCATATGAGGAAATTAGAGCACAGGAAGTTAACTTGCCCATGTGGACATGCATCAGAGTCTGCTCTTAACCATTATATTCTATAACCTCTACGTTAAGCTGGTCTCTTGAGGTTAACATCAAAGTCACCTCTTGGGTTATAATCCCTGTGGCAGGTAGTGAAAGCCATCACCTCATTCACTCTTGCTGAATAAGTATGAGTTTGTTACTCGACTTTGAGGATAAAGACAGTGTCTTATTCATCATTGTACCCCAGCTTCCAGTTAGGGCCTGGCACTCAGCAGGAATGTGATGAAGGAAAGATTAATAGTTCTGTCTTCCAATCTAGAAAGTTTAAACAGGTAACTCTCATTTAGTTCTCACAACAAATGTATGAGGGAAGTACTGTTATTGTTCTCATTTATAGATAGGGAAGATGGAGCTCAGAAAAATCCTGGTCACACTGCTAAGAGAAGGCCCTTCCAGGCTTTGAATCTGTGTCAGTCTGACCAGTGCTCTGTGCCCTGACCACTTACGTGTACTGTCTCCTAGCCTCTGTCTTTTTGCTAAGCTGCAGCCCACTATGTGCAGTTTTTCAAGGAAAGAGTATTCTTCTATTTTGTCAGGTGGAATTGGAACAGATTGTTTTAACATCTCTTACCTTTGAGCATTGAGGTTGGTGATATTCACTAGTGACATCCCTTAGTAGAAAGGTATCAACAACCTCCCTTGATGCCTCTGGCTTATTCGGTGAGCTGAAATAAAGTAACTAATCTGTAATGAATAGTGGGTCTGTACTTGGCATTGTGTTGGACCTTTACCTGCACTGCCTCTGTAATTAATTTAGGATATTGGTTCTATTATCACAGCCATTTTATGGATTAGAAAATAAAAGCTTAATGTGAGACTCAGCAATTTGCTTGAAGACATAAGGCTAATGGGTGAATAAAAGTGAACTCTGTCTCTGGCTCTGATAACTCATGAAGGATACATATATTTGAAGATATGACACCTGTTTCTTGTTCTCAGCTTAATTTCTCGGCTTAATCTTATTTCAGAAGGACGGTCATCTCACATGGATAGATGGATCATCTTTTGGTCTTAAGAAAAATGAAACCTTTTCTTTTCCACTGCTACCCAAGAATGAAACAGATTGCTACATTTTGCAGCAAAATGCAACTGGATCAAACTATTTCTTTACAAGATTTTTCTGTTATGTTCCACTGCCATATATTTGCAAATATGAACGTAATTATTTTTATTAATATTCTTATACCATGTAGCTCACTGTCATTATTGTAAAGATAGAATTATGATTTCTAGTTACAAACAATCCTCCTCTGTATTTTTTTCAGCACCTTCTCTGCAGGAAAACCTTTTGATAAGTATAAAGGATGTTGGAACAACTGAAGTTGTATTTGGTTGGCATAATCGGAATGTTTGGAACACTTTGAATAAGTGGCTAAAACTGGGATATAAAATTATCATTAAGTATTATTTATATTATACAGAAGAACAATATTTTGAAAGCATATCCCCAAATACTACAGAAAAAACAATTACCAAATTGTTTCCTGGCCATATTTACAGATTTTTACTCTTTGCAGTAAATAAATGGGAGGCAAGAACTATGTTAAGTTCAGTATTTATTGTTGAAACACGTAAGTTACAAAACCTCTGAAAATATGATTTTTCAGTTATTGAATATCATAACTAGCAGATATTTCCTGAGGGTCTCGTATTTTCTCATAACACTCTTGGCATACCTAGATCTTTAAACATTTTAAATTACAGTGAATCTGTGTATGTCTTTGACTTACCTATTAAACTATATAGCCATAAGGGCAGGAACTATATCTTACTTGTCTTAACAACACCAACTAGACTGGTGTCCAGTGCACAGTGGATATCAAGACTTTTTTTTTTTTTTTTTGGAACTTAAGTTTTGATATGTACTAAGAGCAGGAGATAAACAGACATGCATTGTGGATTTTGGAAGACTTGCAATGAAGAGAATTAGGAAGAAAAGTAAAAGCAAACAAAAGATAGCAAGGTGTAGGAAAATGTAAGAGCCTAAATTATCAATAACTTAGTGATACATTTAATAAGTGCTTTCTAGAATTCAGAAGATGGGTGATGGGAAGACTCATGAAAAGGGGAGGCTTAGATTCAAACTTAAAGGAAAACACATTGTGAGCAAAAGTATGGAGACAGCAGTTCATGGGAAAAGAATAGTGTAGGTTAACTGGAAAAGATTTCCTCAGGCATGAAGGTAAAAACAGTTGGAGTGGTGAAGTGTACCAGATTTGGGAGTGCTAGGGGTGTGAATCTCAGATGGTTGGACTTGACCTTAGAAGCATTGGAAATCCATTAAGTGACGTTTCTAAAACTCGCTTTACCTTTTATGAAACACTTTAATGCATAATCTCACAAAGGTCGTAACTCAGCTCTGGGAGTAGCTATATAGAAAAGAGAAAACTGAGCTTCAAAAAGGTTAAATAAACTGACCAGAGCAACATGCTTTGTTAAGCCACACAGGAACCCAGATGGTCTTGTTTTAACTCTTGAGCTATTACTTCTAAAGAAAGGATCGAAAGGAATGAGTGTACTCTGTGTGTGTGTGTGTGTGTGTGTGTGTGTGTGTGTGTGTGTGTTTGGAGGTTAGGGATGGATATGGGTTTGAGGTTGGTATGTGCAAGGTGTTTTTTAAAGAAAATTAATCCGGAAGGATGTGTTAGAAAAACCACTGACTGGGATTGGTTGAAATGCTTTGGTGTAGGGAAAGATTTCTGCGAGGATGAATACTTGATGTCTAGTGATGACAGAAATGAAGAATAAGGAATAGGAGGTCCCTGCTCTCTAGTCTGACAAGGCAGAAGGGTTAAGAGGCATTTAAGATATGATCACAGAATGCCAGAAATGCCATTTTTGGTGGTTTTGTTATAAAAATAATGATTGAACCAATAACAGAGGTCAAACGATTTGTGCAGTGCTCTCCATTCCTTATCTCATTTAATCTTCTTAATAATGTTCCAATATAGCTACTACTGTAATTCCCATTGTACAGTCAAAAAAATAGAGGCTCAGGGAGAGTAAATAATTTACTCAGGGAGTAGAGACATACAATGGAAAAGCCACGACTCAAATCCAGTTTTCCTTTTCTCCAACGTAGAATATTAGGGAAGTACTGAGAGGTGCTAGAGCACTCTGCCACATTATATCACTAATATGATGTATTTTTCTGATTTTTGAAATCTCCCAGGCCCATTATCAGCTAAGAATGTCACAGTGACTCTTTTGACCCCAACAGAAGTATTTTTACACTGGAATCCTCCAGATCTTATGTCTTTTCACCATTATCTTGTGACTATTTTGGATGTGGAAAACAGTAAATCAGAAGAGGTGCTTGTTGAAAAATTCAGCACATCAGTGAAAATTGGAGATTTGAAATCTTTCCATCATTATCAGATACATCTATTCAGTGTTGGGGCAAGAGGAACTTTAAGCTGCTTTGAGAGACCTATTTCAGCCATTACAGGTAAGCAAAGGCCGATTTTGCCTTTCAATAAAAAATTTAAACTTCATGTTTTGAAATTTATTTAAGTTTAATTATGTTGATCCTTCATGGGTATAAATACAGTTAAACATTTGAGTGTTGAATCAAAATCTCACATAGATTCTGCGTACTAAATTCGTTTAGATTTACATGAACTCTTTAAACATCTGCGTTGTTCCTACCAGAGTTCCTAGAAGACATACTTCTTATAATAGCCTTGGCTGGGAAATAAGTTCTCATGAAACATAAAAATTAGTTCATCCGCTTCTAGATCCAACAAATTGGTCTGCATATTCTTTTACTCAAATTCATTTTCTTACACAGCGTGAGGAGTTCACCTCTAGGGGGCAGTATCACTACAGGACTTTGGGCAATTGCATTTATAATCCTTCACCTCCACATGCCAATTTTGAATTCTTGTCTGGAAAATAATCATTAGAGTAATCCATCTTTTAATAAAGCAGTAGATATATTCCTATGAGTCATTTTTTTTTTTGGAAAAGATTAGAGTATTATATGAAACAACGCATAGCTAAACACTTTTTGGAGTATATTCCTGTGTGTGTAATATGTGTATGGTTTGTGCATGTGTATTTAACATGCCTATATGCAAAGTTCTTTAGCTGAAATTCCAGTCAACTCAGAATAGCTAAAATTTAAACATGCTAGACCAAGGTGGGAGAAATGGAAAATGTGCACAGCCATAGAGCAATTAGCCTTCTCATACTTACTGGGAATACTTGCAAAACTTTGAGAATAAGAACAACCAAACGTGCTATTTAATGAGAACTAAATGCAAATGCTTAACATACATGTATTCAGTGTTGCAAATCCTAAGCAAAAGTATTTTTCCAAATGGATTAGATAGCCGATTTTTTCTCTTCCTGGAGCTCATTCAAAGCTCCCTTCAATGGATAAATGCTTGGTTGACTCTTTTACACTTACGAAGATGCTTTCTTTTCTTTTTCTTTTTTTATTATATATGCTTCATGTGTACAATATTATAATTCAACATCTCTATACACTACACAGTGATCATTCAAAAGTCTAGTTACCCTCCATCATGCTGCCCTTGACCCCCTTTACCCTTTTTGCTTACTCTCCAATACAGATCCTCTCCAGTAACCATTGGTCTCTTCTCTGTAAATGCTTCTGTTTGTAACTGACAGGAAGACTGGGAGGATTTCTCATAGATTTGTTCATTTTAAAGTCAAATTAGAATCTTCCATGGCATATACCTATTTACTAGAGGGACAGGAAGAAGGTACATGTGTGTCTGCACTTTTAATTTTGGGGTCATTTGCTCTATGTATTAACTGTAAGCTGACATAGCAGTGCATATGTAGGAATTAGTAATCCCGTGTTCTTTTACTCTCTTAAGCTTAACGCAATATCCTTTTTTCATTCATTATTCACTCAATAAATTATTTTTTTAGTATCAGTAATAGGTACTAGAGATGACTAGTATCTAGACTAGAACCATAATAGGTACTAGAGATGCAAAGATGAATAAAACCTAGCTTCTGACTTTAAAGGGCTATGTGCTAATAGAGTGAGACAAGTAATTTAAAAAACAGTGATAATGCTGTCTTACAGTTGCAATTATAAGGGTTCTGCTCTGGGGACTATGGGCCCATAAGAAGGATCAGTTAACCCAGAAGTCTTCTGGTGCAGTCATGAACTGCTTCAGGAGGAAGAATAGGAGTTAGCCAGGGGGCAAGAGCATGCTGTGAGTAGGGCAAACAGCAAGTGCACAGGCAGAGAGGACCAAAAAAAAGGCATCTAGGTAGCCATACCTGGGAAAGCCAGAACTTTTAGAGAGGACTGACATTTGAACATTAGCAAATTGGCAAGTAGTTTGGCAAGGCTGAAGTATGGGGGCATGCAGAGAATCTAGAAAATGTAAGCTAGGCACAGAACAGGAAGAGCTTTCATACGTATTAAGGAGTATATTTTATTCAGTAAAATTTAACTTTTACGGGTCGTGAAGTCTTTTGAGAATGTGGAAAGATTAATGGACCCTTGCCCATAAAAATGCACATGCATAAACAGAAATTTCTGTGAGTAATTATAGGGCTATCACAGACTTACCAGATCTCATCTTTTCCTCAATCTCTGCTTATGTGTGGCATTCATAGATTTCATCTAAGTCCTGCACTGAAGTAAATGTTTGTGAGTTTTGCAATCACACAAGAACAAAGATCTGAAGTTGTTTCACCCTGGAATCTTGTGGGCAGCTTATCTAATTGGATTATTCTAGCATCCTCTGATCATTTTTATATACATAATTAATTTCAATGCCTATAGTCAGACCAGCTACAATTTTGTGAAGTTGTATAGGATGAGCAGATTATGGGTCTGACCCAGAGTGATATTTTCCTAAGAACTAAAAATATGGTCGGCCTTTATTGAGTTGATAGGAAGTGAATCTCGAAACAGATTAAAAGTCAAGTTACAGTTTTTGCGAACAAACTAATTATGAAAATTGTAGAGAATTCTTTGAAGATTATTTAAAGTATAACTACTGAACAGTTTAAAATTACATAATTATTCTTGGACATAAATTAATGATCTTTGTTTTGGTGAACTATTGAAAGTTCAGAGGAAGTATATGACATGGGATAAACAATTAAGACTAAAAGGAGGGGATTACTATTTTCAGAGAATTGTATAGTATTAAAAATCACAAGGTTGATAGTCATGTAAATTGTATAAGGAGCTAATTAACCCCAAGTATTTTCTTCAGTTATTATGATAGACTATCAAGAGCTCTCTGATGATTTTCTGTAAGAATAGCAACCACAACCTGGTATCATCCTATTTTCAAATATATATTACACCTTTCAGAAATTAGAAAAGTAATATAAAGTTATAACTATTTCTAGGATAAATACCAGTCCCAAAGTTTAAAAAAAATCTACATGTTAATAACTCCCAAGTCTATATCTTCAGCCCCCAGACATTACTCCTGAGCTTCAGACTTATATATGTTTACAGTAATACATCTTATTTGGATATCTGATAGACATCTTAAATCCAGTTGTCCAAAATGGAACTACAGATGTTTCCACCCAAATCTGCTGTACCTACAACTATGTCAGGTCAATTCATGGCTATTTCATTCATCCGGTTGTTTAGGTCAAAAACCTTGAAGGCATCCTCAGCTCTTCTGTTTTTCTCACAGCCTACACCCTAGCTGTCAGGAAATCCTACTGTTTCTATCTTTGCAATGAATCTAGAATCTGAATACTTCTCCCTGCTTTCCTTATGGTTGCTGTTATCCAGGCCACCATTTTCTCTTGCCAGGAGTCCTGGGCTTGCCTCCTCTGTTTCAACCATTGGCTCTCTCTGTGGTTGGTTATTAACATTAACACCCAAGTGATTCTTTTTTTTTTTTTTTTCCTTTAAAGATTTTATTTACTTATTTGACAGAGAGAGAGATCACAAGTAGACAGAGAGAGAAGGGGACGCAGGCTCCCCGCTGAGCAGAGAGCCTGATGTGGGGCTCGATCCCAGGACCCTGAGATCATGACCCGAGCCGAAGGCGGAGGCTTTAACCCACTGAGCCACCCAGGTGCCCCCAAGTGATTCTTATAAATTTAGGCGAGATCATGCTTCTGCATATAACTGTAGTTGCTACCTACTTTGTTCAAAGTAAAAGCCCATGAAACCTCTGGGTTTCTGTTATCCCCTGACCTCATTCTACTACTTTCTCCTTTCACTCTGGTTTTCTGTGTTTGAAGATAACAAGTAAACTCCCACCATGTAAAAGCTTTTACTTAAGCTGTTTTTTTTTTTTCCCCTGCCTAGAAAACTCTTCTTCCAGATATTGAATATCTATCTTTTTAAAAAATTTACTATGTTCAGTTAGCCAATATATAGTACATCATTAGTTTTTGATGTAGTATTCAAAGATGTATTAGTTGCGTATAACACTCAGTGCTCATCAGATCACGTGTCCTCCTTCATGCCCATCACCTAACCCCATTCCCCTACCCACTCCCTTCTGTAACCCTCAGTTTGTTTCCCTGGAGTCCAAGTGTCTCATTGTCTCCCTCTCTGATTTCTTCCCATTAAGTTTTCCCTCCCTTCCCCTGTGGTCTTCTGAGCTATTCCTTATGTTCTACACATGAATGAAACCATATGATAATTGTCTTTCTCTGCTTAACTTACTTCACTTAGCAAAATCCCTTCCAGTTCCATCCATGTCAATGTAAATGATAGGTATTCATCCTTTCTAATGGCTGAGTAATATTCCATTGTATATATGAACCACATCTTCTACTTCCTTAACCTCCTTCCAATGCTTAGCTCAAAATCTCATCTTTTCAAAGACACCTGCCCTGGATTCCCTATTTAATACCACAACTTCCCCCCAAAGCCACCTCATTCCTGGGCTCCCCAGCCTTAGCTTATTTTTTCTTTTTTCCCTTAGCCTTATCATATCTAAAGTACTATATAATATTTACATTTATTTTATGATTGTTTATTGTGTATTTCCACCCATTACAATATAAACTGCATAAGGCAGTGATCTTTGTTATTTTTTGTGCTGGTGATTGCCTGGTATGTTAGTAGGTGCCATACACATTTGATGAAAAAAGGAATAACCTTGGCAATAGAAACCTTACTCTGATGGAACTCTTAAAAATCTGAAGAATTTGGGGTGCCTGGGTGGATCAGTGGGTTAAGCTCCTGCCTCCGGCTCAGGTTATCATCTCAGAGACCTGGGATTGAGCCCCGCATCGGGCTCTCTGCTCTGTGGGGAAACTGTTTCCCCCCTCTCTCTGCCTGCCTCTCTGCCTACTTCTGATTTCTCTCTCTTTCTGTCAAATAAATAAATAAAATCTTTTTTAAAAATCTGAAGAATTTGCCAAAGCCTCTAGATTTCCTTAATGTGTAATGTGCTTAATCTTATTGACAAATCTTACATAGTAATAACAAGACATATTTTTCTCTAAAATTGAGTCTATTTCAAGTCATGGTGATGTAGGGATTTGCTAAATTTTACTGTAAACAGGAACTGATATTGGATTAAGACATTTTTACTCCAGAGCAAGAGTAATGCTAACAATAAACTAAGATAAGTCTATCTACTTATCTGTTTTTTTGAAGGTATTAATCCTCCTCAAAAGGTTCACATAAAACCTGAAGATGTGGGAGAGGACAGTCTAATTCTTCAGTGGGAATCCCTACCAGATGGCCACGAGATCTACATTCAAATCAAACCCTCATCAGATATAAGAGAAGTCCTGAAGCTTTTTGTAAGGAATGCTAATAGATTAAAGATTGATAATTTAACCCCTGGGATGACCTATGACATTGGAATGGCAACAGTAATGAATGGGAATTTGAGTGAGCTGGTAACCATTCAACAAACTCTAAGTGAGAATCAAATGTTTTTCATTCATAACAGATATCTGCTGATTTGGGGCTATTGTGGAACATTCCCTGACACACCCCTCTGGTAGTAGGTTTTACCTTTTTAAGTAGATTGTTGGTTGCTTATCTAATGGTAGCCCAGGACCTGGAGTGGTTTGCATTCCTCTTCTCCCGAGAATGCTTAATGCATGAATTAAGGCAATGTTGTTTTTGATTAGAAACTTGACCCTAAAGCCACATCGCCTAGGTCTGAATCTGGGCCAAACTAGTTGAGTGGCCCTGAGCAATGTATTCAACATATTTTTGCCTTAATTTACCCATTTCTAAAGTGGGAGAAAATAATGGTATGTACATATTGAATGGATTTTCCTGAGACTAGCTGATTTAATAAAGGTGAACAGAGCCTGACACATAGCTATATGAATGTCCGTAATTATTATTATAAAGGCATGCTGTTGCAACACACTGAAAGAAAATACTGACAGTATTTAAAAGGCTTAGGACCAAAGCAACGACAAATCTCCATGTTCTTTCTCGAATAAGGTTAATTCATGCAATACGTAATCATTAAAAATCTAAAAAAAGAAATTCAAATAAAAAATGCCAAAACAAATCTATTAAGGAAGGAGAAAGAAAAGAAATGACAAGTAAATAAATAATATTTTTGGATATTTATAAATTGTGCTAAACATTAGGAGGGGAAAAAGCAATGTGGTGTGATGTAACTGAAGAGGGGTGGGCGGTTCTGGTGTGGATGGACTGTAATGGGAGTTGCCTAATGGATGAGAAGGAGCCACAGTGCGATCAGGTGGATGAAGGGTGTGGTAGGCACTAACACCCAGTGTAAAGGCACAAAGGCTATAAAATAGGGAAACGTTTGGTGTATCTGAGAACAAAAAAGGCTGTAATATTCTGTGTCTAATGAAGAGGGAGAGGAGGAATATGAAATGATATTGCAGAGGTATTCAGGAGTTAGATCACATAGATCTTATAGGCTGTGCTTTTGAGTTTGTTTTGAGGACAATGGGAAACCATTGAGAGTTTTATTCAGGAGAGTGATGGTGTGAGCTCCATTACAAAAATTCCCCCCTGATTGTGTGCAAAGAATGATTTGTAAAGGGTCAGGGATGGAAGTAGGACAGCTGGGTAAGAGTGTCCTAGAATTTAGGGAAAAGATTATGGCAGTCAAGGATGGGAAAGAGCAGATAGAAAGTAGTAGATATATTTTATAGTGTGAAAGTAGGAAATCTGAGCTTTGGTGATAGAGTGCATGTGAGGAATAAAGGAAGGGTTTTGTTTGTTTGTTTGTTTTGTTTTTTTACTTGTATCTGATTTGGGTAGAAAGAGGTAACTCTGAGGAAGGAAAGAAGATTAGACCTCACAGGCCTTTTTGGCTAATAGTAGGGTAGCCTGATGGGAAAAATGACTTGGTCCAAAAAATTATGTACCAGTAGTGTCCACACTCAACCACATCAAATCTTACCATTTTGTCTTCCAAAGACTAAAACTAATGAATCATTGAATACTACATCAAAAACTAATGATGTACTATATGCTGGCTAACTGTACCTAATAAAAAAAAGAAGACTAAAACTAAATTTGTCTATAGCACTTCCATACTTAAATTTCTGAGAAAATGTGCCTGAAGATAATTATCATAGGAAAAACGTTAGGAAAAAAAAAAAAATCTGAAAAAAAGATATTCCTAAAAAGAAATATTCCTAAAAAAATATATTTCACGTCCATCAAACAAACCCAAAATTTTTATTGGCAGAATAGAAGTACTAAAATTAAAACTCATAGATGGAAAATGAACCAATTATTAACAATATGAGGTTAGAGTGTCCCCACAGTGTCTTGGTGCCTAAGTTTTCTCTCTAAAAATTTAGATCATTGAATACATTTTTAAATTGACTTCCAGCTCTAAAGTCCTATTTTTTTTCTTTGAGTCCAGGGAACTCAGGAGATTTCAACCCTCTGCTATCTAAAATACAAAAATTTTATCTCCCTTTCTAGAAAGTGAGCTTCTTTGAAGTCTTACTCAGCCTGGAATCTCCAGGTGTCCAACAGTTCTTAACTCTGTTTAACTCAAACACATTTGTAATACTGCTCTCTAGCATGCAAGCTGAAACATGATTAATATATATAAATCCTAGGAAAAATGATAGAATTTGGGGGTTTGAAGTTAAGACAGAAATCTTCTTACCAGTATCCCACCTGATATGTGATTCCTAGCATAGAGCCTCTCATTATTTTGTAAATGCATCCCTGTAATTTTCCTCTATTATAAGACCATGTTTGTTTTCCAGAAGCATTACAAAGAGAGCAAATCTACTCCCTGATTCACATGAAAGGACATCAGTTGTTTGGAAATAGCCATTAGGTGTTCCTGGTTTCTATAGTTTCTTCCTTTCTGGTGATTTGTCTTTAGTTTCTTCAAGCATATCACTATTTCTTATAATTCTATTAGCTTTTCTATTCTGTTCTTAACCTTAGAAGCACTATTGGCACCATCAGATTATTTATCATTCATCATTTTTATTTGTCTCAGATGATCTATATTAACCTATCCCAAGGTGCATAAATAGAAATTAATTCTCTGTATGCATCCATTCAACAAACATTTGTTGATAACTGTTATTTACCATGTCCCATTTCCCTTTCTTCCATACAATTTGAGATGGTTAAAGCATAGAGGGACATTTACCTGTTAATGACCTTTTGCAGACACAGAGAAGAAAATAAAACTCACATCTTCATTGACTTCCCCTTTCTTTTTGAAACATATTTGACCATCGCTCTAAATTATCTTGAAAATAACTAGCCAGATTTGATTTCCAGTTATTATTTTGGTGCACATGAATTGTAACATGTGACCTTTGGGAGGAGGAAGTGCTTAGCAGCACAGACCTTGGGACTGGGTTGTCTCAGCTGGAATTCCAGCTCCACGATTATCAGCTTATACCCACTGGAAAGTCCCTCAAGCTTTATTGGCCCTCAGGTTACTTCTCTCTAAAATGGGAATGATGATAATCTTATCTACTGTATGAAATTAATAAAATTTAAGGGCTCAGACACCAAGCAAGCATTCTGAGAATGTTTATTATTGTGACGATTTTTATTTTCTCAGTAGGACTGGACTGGTAGTTTTGGGGAGTGAAGAGCATCCCTAATGTTTCAACCACAGTAAAGCCGTTTGTTTATGTAGTCTCTCATTGTTGGAGGAATTAAGTACTCCTTTCCTTGAGGGAGGGAGAGCTGGTATTTGAGTCTCCTTCTTTCCCTCTCAGTATAGAAGGATAAATATTAAGACAGGCTGGAAATCTCTGAGACTTCATTCTTCCTTGCCTATAATAAAACCCTTTGAATTTAGCCTTGTTCCATTTATCTTATATTGAAAGAAAAAAAAAAAAACCCTCATATAGTCCCCACTGCTTCCACTCCTTTTAAAAGATCTCTTTCATGAGGAAGTGGAGATGCAACGTGGAGAGTTTGGGGGATAGGAAAAGAATAAAAGAAACAAGATGGGATCAGGAGGGAGACAAACCATAAGAGACTCTTAATCTCACAAAACAAACTGAGGGTTGCCTGGGGAGAGGGTGGTGGGGTTATGGACATTGGGGAGGGTGTGTGCTATGGTGAGTGCTGTGAAGTGTATAAACCTGGCGATTCACAGACCTGTACCCCTGGGACTAATAATACATTATATGTTTATAAAAAATAAAAAATAAAAATAAATAAAAAACAAGAAGGCTAGGATATGAAGGATAAGCCAGGAGATCAGAAATAGTCAGTACAGATTATTGCTGGGGGTCCACTAGTATATGAGCATGTGAATTGGGCAACAGCAGAAATGGTGAAGAGGAATAACAGATATGTGAGTTATTAAAGGGACACACACAAAGGAACTTAGTGTAGACTGTATATAGTTTGGGATGGAGAGGAGGGAGGACTCCATATTGATTCTTGTCTTTCTGGCTATGGTGATTTGATGACTGTTACCATAACAATCCAACCCTTTTGTCCCAAATGAAAAATTTTATAATTTACTAATGTAATTGTTTTCTTTTTTAACTTAAATGCTGTTAATAAAGATGAGTAGTTTAACATAAAAAAAAAAAAAAAAAGATCTCTTTCAGGAAAATGGGTAAGGATAAAGGTCACAGCCACGAAAGTGGAGACACCTAGATGTCTCCAGAATATGGCAATACAATTAATTAATTAATTAGCAACACTTTCTCTCACTTGAGTTTCCAGAGGTTCAGGATATAGTTTTAAAGAAAAGAAAGAACTTTGTCTTGTTGTACACTTTTCCAGCCTTGGTGTCCATCTGCTGTAATATGTCATTTATTGATGTCATTGGTCCCATTTCCCTGAACAAGTGGAACTGATGAAAAACCCCACATTTACCAGCTATAGAGAATGTCACAGACTATACAGTTTTAGAAACTAAATTAGATAATGCCTATTTAAAGCATTGTCTCTCCTTAGAAGATATCTTCAGTGCCTAGGAACACGGAAATGAACTGTTTCCATGACTACACCGGCCACTTATTTCCAATCTCCTGATATTTAATTTCTGCTCAAGGTAGATTTAGAAACTTTCATATCATTGCTCACACATTCAAATGGATTGGATGCTTGTGGGATGTCAGACTAGACTTGGAAAAACCATACTTTTTGTTCACAGCTTTGTAACTGAGGAGAGCTGTAAGGAATTTAAAGAGGAAACCCACAAAAAACATCAGTGATGACAGAAAAAGGAAAGTTAATATAGCTTGAAAAAGAAAAACATGGTAAAAGTGCTTTGAAACCCAGTAGTAAACCATATGGTATTTGTTTTGATTAATATATTGAACATTTCCTCATAACTCCCCAGACTGAAAAAGGCAAGAAATTTATGTTACAAATGAACGTATTGATGGACATATTGCACAGGTTTTATGTTCTAGAATGCTAATTATAGGTCTGTGTTTAAATCCTTTTACACAGTACTGGTTCTGGGTAAACTGGTGAAATCACATTATCAAATACAGTATCATTGACTTAGAACAAGTTCCATTGCATCAAACCAGATGTCACAAAGAAAACTGAAAAGCAAAGGCTGTCCAATTACTCTCTGGAAGAAAGAATATCTCCTCAGAATGTATCTTAGAAGAAGATATATACTTGGAAGAAAGACACATATAAGGATATACTAGGTAGTATTTCAATAATCCACAAATACAGTTGAAATTAAAATTGACCTGAGGGGAAAAAATATGAATAGAAATATCTGAAATTTCAAATCTCCTCTAAATAGGACAGCAGAGGATTACAGTACAAGAAAGCTCTTACAGAGAGGTCAGCGAGAATATGAAATGTAAGCAAATCCTTTCCCTAAATTGTTGTCAGGACTGCGCTCCTAAAAATGGAATGGAATCTGTTCAGAATCCCTGTGCCCACAGGATAAAGTCTGACCTCCATAGCACCGCGTGCAAAGCCTCTTGCAGATAGCACCCATCCCCAGAGGTGGCCTTCCCAGCCTGATCCCTATTCCTCACATTCCCCAGGCTTTTAACCACCTAAGCCTGGAACTAAGCACTTTGTATACAAATACAGTCTCTCACTGGATCATCACAGTGACCTTGTAGAGTAGATACTAGTCTCCCTCCCATTTTAGGAATGAGGAAACCAAGGCACAGAGTGATTTAGTAACTTGCCAAAGATTAGGGACTAATCTTGCCATAGTTGCCAAAGACTAGTGATTAGTAACTTGCCATGCTAGTAAATAGAGGAAAGAACTTGATATTCCCTGAATACACAGTGATGATGATAATCATCCCAATTTCCTTTTTGGTTTCCATGCCTCATTCATAGTTTTCTCTTTGTCTGAAATTCCCTCCTTACCACCTCTCCCCACCACATTCTCTTTCTGGTTAACCTGTACTACCCTTTAAGATTCAGATAAAACATCATAGACTCTGGAATCCTTCTCCAATGATCTCTGCTGGAATTGTTTTCTTCCTTTCTTCTCAACAGCTTTTTGTTCATGTTACCAGCTCAGCTCTATGCATTTGGGATTTAGTAAGGGATTTGCGTATCTCTTTCTTGAGATTGGGAACTCTGAATGCAGCAATCTGGCCTTACTTAATTTAAGCACTCTTCCTAGTATATAGATTTTCAAAAGCATTGGCTTAATAAAAAGATAAAAAAGGTAAAAAAAAAAATCAGAAAATCTCAGATTCTTAGGTTTTGGAGACTATTCCTGAGAATCAAAAAATGCAAGTTAATCAAGTATTTCCAATATATATGTACATACAGTCTTTCAGAATATCCACCTTATTTTTCTGATATAGTAAACATAAGTTTGCGCAAGCATTTAGTGTTTTTGCATATTCTAGAACATGCCAGACAAGATGGAGAGAAATGTATTTGAAATTTAAAAAAAAAAAAAAAAAAAAAAGCCCACTGGGGTAACTGGATGGCTCAGATGGTTAAGTGTCTGCCTTTCACTTGGGTCATGATCCACATTGAGGTCCTGGGATCAAGCCCCACATTGAGTCCCGTGTCAGGCTCCGAGCTTAGTGGGGAGCCTGCTTCTCCCTCTTCCTCTACCTCTGCCCCATGCTCTCTCTTTCTCTAATGAATAAATAAAATCTTTAAAAAAAAAAAGCCCACTAATTATAAATCTCTCTTTTTATCTTTCAGAGCCCAAACCAGTCCAAATTGTCATCCCATATGAAAGTCATAGTACCTCTATAATCTTATTTGTTCGAATGCCTGATATTGGAGTGTTTGACGGCATACACATTGTAATTGAAGGAGGGCCAAATATAACCAAGCCCTTGAAACATGACAATAAAATAACTGTTGGCAATTTAATCCCAGGCACAGAATATAATTTTTTTGTTTCCATTATCAGTGGGACTAAATTAAGTAATACCTATTATGTGCCTGCAGTAAAAACAAGTATTTTGGGATTTACGTGTTTTCTTGATTTTGATTTTGTGCACCATTTCATATTAGTAGGCTACATTTACTTCAATGCAGTTATTTTCAAAGCTCTTTTAAAATAATTACAAATGCCTTACTACTGAGCCTGATCTTTCATTGCTCAAGTACGAAGAGCTAACTTTATGTAAAATTGACAAGTCCTGAATTTTTAAATCTTTCCATTAACAAAAAATGTATGTGCATATTAATCAGAACTTAAAATGACTTATTTTAAGAGTGAGGAATGTGAATAATTTTAGGCAAATTATGAGAACTAGGCTATATTTTTTGAGTCTAGAGACACTTAATAGTGTCTCTCAAAGCATATAGTCTTAGCATGTGTTCGCTCTCTCCATGCTGCCCTTTGTCTGGAAAGAACTAGTATATATTTTCCCCACTTCTTTGAATATTTAAAATTAGTGTGTATTATATTTGTTCATACCAATACTTATGTTTTGAATTTCATATCAGTTTTGGTTTATCTTTTAAGTCACTCACAAATTCTACAATACTCATTTTGAACATCTAAGACACATGAAATTCATCTAAACTATTGACCGAGTAGATATAGAAATGAATGGCACAAAGTAATAAATGCCATACAAAAATCATATGTAGTCCTAAAAATGTAATAATTTTGACTATAACATATCCAAGTTTTTCATGCTTTTCTCTTTCACTCTTTAAATGTACACATATATTGTTATATCACTGTCTGTCTTCTTCTCAAATTGTAATCTTCCCATTACTGTATAAACTCAAATTTTCATAAAACACTCCCAAACTGATATCACCAATCACATACTGTAATAGTACTTTAACATATTTGTAATCAGCTCAGTATATGTTTATACTTTATTTTTGTTTGCAATTTTTATATACTTTTAAAAAAAATTATTTATTTATTTGACAGAGATCACAACTAGGCAGAGAGGCAGGAGAGAGAGAGGAGCGGGGGAAGCAGGCTCCCCGCGGAGCAGAGAGCCTGATGCGGGGCTCGATCCCAGGACCCTGAGATCATGACCTGAGCTGAAGGCAGAGGCTTTAACCCACTGAGCCACCCAGGCACCCCTTTATATACTTTTTATATCATATCTATATTCTCTGTCTCTTCCTTGTGTTATAAATCATTATGGGCAGCATTGTATTTGACAGTTCTTGTCTTTAGAAATAGTTAGTATTTGATCATCTAAATATATCAATTTTGTGATATAAGTGGTAAAATATATCAATATATAAGATGATAATCTAAAGCAGAAATTTTTTAGTTTTTATGAAAATTTCTTTTTCTGTATGCTGAATGGAATCTTTAATTTGAAAATATAACCCATTAAAACTCATCAGATAAGATTTGATTTTAGCTTTAGCCAATATTTGATACAAAGAGGATTCTTTTACTCCGTTGTCTTGACTTCACATTTTTCTCTCTGTTGTCCTTTTAGCTTATGGTAATAGACTTAGAAAGCTTTAATCTCCTTTTCTTCTTTTGGATATCATGCAATTTGCACTGTGAATTTGTTGTTATGTAGTTTTTGCGGCAAAACCAAAATCAGCTTCTTGTTACAGTGTTCTCAATGACTCTGAGTATTGCCACTGATTATTATATTTGATAAACTGTCATGGATGTATAATCAATACTTTAGGATATACGGATGGTTGATTAATAAACTTTATTCTTTACCCGAAATTATGTCTTTTTCCCTTTAAAGGGATAAATTAAAAGAAAAACCCAGTTAGAAAACATATAAGTGGAATTTAAAAGTGTTGTGTGTTTTGGGTAGGTCTGGAATCGCCATCAGATATCCACGAGGGCAAAGTGACAGACTCTTCCATAGAGATTCTCTGGAATCGAGCTGATGGGAATTTCCAGCATTATGAAATCACATGCCTGAACTGTACTGCTGCTCTCATGGTAGGTTACAGGCGGCTCTTGGAGGCATTAAACTCCAATCTTTCATGCTGACCCAATACTACTGCATTCTTACACTAGATGGTAGTGAAATTAAATAACCCCCGTGCTTATTTGGTTGTGCTGAATTGTGGAACATTTTTTAAATGAACACTTCCTAATTTATTCTTTTGGATGGATAGGTCCAGAAGGTAGTTCAAGAAGCAGCAACGTTCTCCCACCTGGATCCCGCCACAGTGTACGCCTTCTCAATTCGCACTGAAAGGGAAGGTTTTAAAGACAGCACTCCTAACCTCAAAGAAATACAGACAGGTACAGCCTGCGTAAGCACTTTAGATATTATTCCGTGTTCAGTTATTTGTTTCATTCTTTAGGGAAGATTTAGAAAATAGTTTGTTCTTCCCGGATTTTCTTTATGGACAGAGAGTTGTCATCTCTTGTCCCTCTTTCTGTTTCCCTTTGTATGGGTTAGAATAACCTCTTTTGTATGTGTATTGCCAGGCAGTAGTGTGGCTAATTGCCTGGGGTTTGACCAGATTTTCCATTTGCGATCCAATTCCTTCATTGTTCAGTTAAGCAAGCAATGAAGTGACATTTCCCCAGTGTTAGCAATTTACTCTCCATGGCAGATGGTGATTATTCTAAGCTAGTCATATGAAATAAAAGATGATTGGGAAGGATGTATGTAAAATGTATGCATTTTCATATCTAGATGAAGTAACATTTTCAACTATCGTACTAAAATAGCTATTTTAGTGACTCTTGACACTGATGTTATGGAACATTGATCTATATGTTTAGAAACTGGTCGTATCTGGTATTCCTTTACTATATTAATACAGAATGGAATTGGGAGAGAATATCTTGGCAGTTTTGTTCTTTTCTTATACATGGAAGAATTTTAGAGACAAAACAAAATATATATTATACGCTATTTCGTTTAACTTTTTTTCCTTAGGAAGGAAGGGAAGCATTTTATGTTTAGATTGCAATGAACTTTCCTGCTGATTAACCTTGTCACTATTTGGTATTTAATTAGAATAAGTCCGAAAAATCATTAAATATTTCTGAGATTCATGGTGTTGGGAAGAAAAATAATTTTTTCTCTGCCCTTCTATGTCCTTGACTGAGACCCAACACCCCCACCCCCCGCCCCCGCCAACTCCTCTAAGACAGATCAACAAGAGAGAAATAAACAGAAATTTAATAACAAGTATACTTCCTGCATATGTAGGAGAGACCCAAGGAATCTGAGAAACTCCTTGAATTGGTCTAAACCACCACCTTAAATACCATCTCCAGCTAAAGACAAAAGAAAATATTGAGGGGGTAAGGGAGCCAGTTATGGGAGGCTACCAGGAAAAGCACAGAAAACAAATGTAAGGTTGTTATGGAGATTTAGGTCTGTCTTCTCCATTGTTAAGAGTTTCTAAGAGATTTAGTCAGGCTTCTCTCTCTAGTGAATGGAGATTTCCATTGAAATCTCTTATGAATGGAGATTTCCCTTATAAATATAAGTGTCTCTTAAAAAGGGTAGCTTTTACTCAGTTTTCAGAGTTTCTCCTGTATCTGCTGTTTATTAAAAATAACCAGCTTGAAATAATCCTTATGGCAAAGAGGAATATTTTGGGGTGGCATTTTCTGCTCCTTTTTAGTGGTTGCCCAGAACCAAGATATAATCTCTCCCTACATTTTGAGGCAAGGGAAATGTTGGCTGCAGTACTACAATAATACATATTATTTAAAGTTTAAAATGATACTTGCTGTGTGTTTGTTTCTCTTTTTTGACTTTTAACTTTTCATATGTACCGGGAAGAATAAAAGGACTATCTTGCTTGCCCTCAGAGTTTACAGGAAGTAAAACAAATCTTGGGAGTGTTTCAAGGCTGTTTCAGAGCAGGTGCTTTGCACGGTAGAAAATGTTATTTTATGTGTATGTTCTAATGATATAGCCCCGAGTGCCGTTGAATTTATGAACCACAGTAGAAACTCCAATGCAATAACTGTTAGCTGGTCTTCAGCTAGAAGTCTTCTGGATGGGTACATTATTTCAATATCCAGCAAAACCTTAATGAAAGAGGAAATCCTGCCTTCCACAGAAAGGTATGAAAATATTGAAGAGAAACTGTGTTACGTTACGTGGAACACGAGATTAACATTTTATATATATTTTTGAAAAGCTATATTAGTGGCTTAATATAAACAGAAATTAGAAAACCGTAAGACAACTTTTTGGACTATATGTGATTAGAATACCTGAATCAGACGTACAGTAACAAATCCTTTCTTCAAATAAATAATTATAAATCAATTCAGGAGGGCTCATGCTTATATCTATAATACACAGTTTTCGACTTAAATGAATTACTCTGTGTAAGAAGCTATGGTTTCTCATTAACATTTGTGCTTAAGCATAGCAGATTATCTCCATGAGAGGCAGTAAAAATACTACAAGACTTTAACATAAAATCCTTTCTGTAGACAGTATGAGAAAATGGGAGTTTTCCAAATGTTTCTGAGTGAAACGTTTTAATACTTGATTTTTTTTTTTAAATGTGTAGGACCTTCACATTTAATAGCTTGTCTTCAGGGACTGACTTTTTAATTAGCATAATAACTACCAAGGGACTGAAGAGAAGCCATCCTACTGTCCTCATGATTAGCACTTGTAAGTTTATTTTATATTTAATTGACTTTTCATGGGAAAAAAATAATGGAAATGATTGTGTTTAAGCCAATATCTAATTAAAAATGAATGAAAATGGAAGTGGTTTATGGCATGCTTGAAGAAAAGGAGCACTGCATTTATTTGGAGAACGCCTGAGTTATATTCCTGCCTCCACCGCTTATTAGTTATGTGACCTTGAGCAAAACTATTAAGTTTTCACTTAGAAAATGAGAATAGTTATTTCTGCCTAGGTACAAAATCTTGTTACTAAGATCCAAGCACAAAGCTCTTTGTGCAAGTGCAAAGTACTCTAAACCTCAAGCTATTGTCATGAAATAATATTTTTCTAATATTTTGACTGTATTTAACATTTTATGAAGCACAAAACAGAACTTGGAGTATGAACAAATAAATGGCACTGTTATTTATTTATTTATTTATTTAAAAATTTTATTTATTTATTTGATAGAGAGCACAAGCATGGGGACTGGCAGAGGAAGAGGGACAAGTGGATTCCCTGCTGAGCAGGGAGCCCAACATGGGACTCTGTCCCAAGACCCTGGAGTCATGACCTGAGCTGAAGGCAGATTCTTAACTGATGAACCACCCCCCAGGCGCCCCAGCACTGTCTTTTTAATTGCATTATTTGGGTTCAGTTTGCCTTTTCTGATCTTATTAGCATCACTTGCACGTAAGCCCATCCTGAACATACACAGTGTTCCAAAAAGCCCTTTCCCTTGTGGGGCCCAGCCAAATACACCTGTGCTCCGGTACCAGTGCCCTATCAGTGTGAGAAGGGGCTTACTCTCAGAATTTGCAGCGTGGAGGAATAGAAAGCACGGGAAGATGAGTAACAGCCAGGTAAATTCCTGGAAAAAACACTAAAACATCTGAGCAGTTACAATTTACCGGCATGGTATTATGTGCTTAAGTCACCATATTGAATCTGCCCAGGCTACTTCAAATGTAGGTTAAGGCTCAGAGGTGTTCATTACTCATCATGAAAGGTGAGATTTTTAACCCAATTAACTAACTCCAAAACTGATAGGAACTTTGCAGCCTCTCACAAAGACCACCCTAAGAAATACCAGAAACAGATGAGAAACAGCTTCATTTGTATAAATTTTATTTAATTTTTTTTTTTTTTTATGTAGGGCACCTGGGTGGCTCAGTGGGTTAAGCCTCTGCCTTTGGCTCAGGTCATGATCCCAGGGTCCTGGGATCAAGCCCCACATCAGGCTCTCTGCTCAGCAGGGAGCCTGCTTCCCTCTCTCTCTCTGCCTGCCTCTCTGCCTACTTGTGATCTCTGTCTGTCAAATAAATAAATAAAATCTTTAAAAAAAAATTGTCAGTGCAAGTTTCTCTGCTGCTTTGATCTGAGCTGTGCCATTATCACTGCTGCCTTCACCATCATTGTCATCATTGTTGTCATCATCAAATTGAGTGCTTGTTGTGTGTCAGAGACTTTGCTCAGGATTTTCTATCCTTTATATCACTTAATTCTGAATGACAACTTCTATTCTATTGATCACAATGAGACGCATATTTTTACACTTTTTGTAAGTGAGGAAACTGAGGCTTGGAGAACTCTAGTAGCTTATACAACATAACAAAGATTTGAAGTTGGTTTTCCCTAATATAAAATTTTGCCCTTGTAACAACTGTGCTTCATTAGGAAGGCCACTGTGTCTGTCAAGGAAGGATACTACCTACCCACTCTTGGCTCTGTGACTTTGTACAAATCCTGATTCTGTTTGAACCTCAAGATCTTCATTTCTACTCTGGGTTTAATAATACTTTCATATTTCATGATGTTGTTTTGGCTGTGTTTTCCAAGACAAGGCAACTCTTCGCCCCCATCTTTTCTACTTTACGATTTGACTTTTATCTTCTACTGTATGTTAATGATTTTTTATCTTTCTGTACCTCCCTTTTCTGGAAGCCACCTCAGCTCCATTTGAAGTAGGTGGGATATTAATAAATTATAAAATAGAGCTAAAATATATTATGAGAATTTAGAGGCAAAATAAATTAATTCCAGTTGAGAGGGAATGTGAATCACAGAAAAATAAAATAAAAAAGATGGTGAATCAGTGACTCAGGTTTAAATCTACCACTCACTGAGCTGAAATCTAATAAACTTAAATCAATATGTAAGTGGGCACAAAAAATCTTACACAAAATTTGAATTTTAGAGATGAAATTATTCCAATAAAATATTAATGTTTTGTTTCCCTGAGTTAAAGAAAGCAATGCAATATGTCAGTTTTTAATATAAATTAGAAATAGAGTCATGTTACCAAAATGAAGAATAAGATTCAAGAACATTCTCAGATATAGCATTTAAAGGGAAAAGGAGGGGCGCCTGGGTGGCTCAGTGGGTTAAAGCCTCTGCCTTTGGCTCGGGTCATGGTCCCAGGGTCTTGAGATCGAGCCCCATATCGGGCTCTCTGCTCAGCGGGGAGCCTGCTTCCTCCTCTCTCTCTCCCTGCCACTCTGCCTACTTGTGATCTCTGTCTGTCAAAAAAAAAAAATAAATAAATAAATAAATAAAGGGAAAAGGAGTTTGTGAACTTAAGACAAGGGAGATAGATCAGTCTCTTCATGCAGTGTGTAAAATTTTAAGTTAAATATCCCAATTGTAATAACTTCATAATGAATTCTGCTATGAGAAAAATGTTAAAATTCATAGTTTATATAATTTTATTGTAGGAAGAGGCTTTCTAGAAAATTCTATTCTCCCTTCCATTGCAGAGTTGGGGAGACTGAGATTCAGGGTAGATAGCTTACACAAGATCACATAGTGCTAAATTGGACTGGAAAAACCTCTATATCCTAGGACTCTTCCATAGTCTGACAGTCAAGTTTTTTTGTTTTTGTTTTTGTTTTTGTTTTTGTTTTCAATTTCATTAACATATACTGTACTATTAGTTTCAGGGGAAGAATTACGTGATTCATCAGTTGCCTGTAACACCCAGTGCTCATTACATTAATGACCCTCCTTAATGCCCATCACCCAAATACCCTTCTCCCTACCTGCCTCCCCTCCAGCAACCCTGTTTGTTTCCTGGAGTTCAACATCTCTTTTGGTTTGCGTCCCTCTCTATTTTCATCTTATTTTATTTTTTCTTCTCTTCCCCTATGTTCCTCTGTTTTGTTTCTTAAATTCCACATAGTAGTGAATTCATATGGTATTTGTCTTTCTTGGCTGACTTATTTCACTCAGCATAATACCCTCTAGTTCTACCCACATCATTGTAAATGGCAAGATTTCATTCTTTTTGATGGCTGAGTACTATTTCATTGCATATATATACCACATCTTTATCCATTCATCTGTTTATGGACACCTGGGCTTTTCCCATGGTTTGACTCTTGAGGACATTGTTGTAATCAATATTGGAGTGCAGGTGCCTCTTCAAACCACTATGTTTATATCCTTTGGATAAACCTAGTAGTAGAATTGCTGGATCATAGGGTAGCTCTTTTTTTAACTTTTTGAGGAAACTCCATACTGTTTTTCAGAGTGACTGCACCAGTCTGCGTTTCTACCAATAGTGTAAAAGAGTTCCTCTTTCTCTGCATCCTCGCCAGTATCTGTTGTTTTCTGAGTTGTTAGTTATAGCCATCTGACCAGTATAAGCTGATATCTCATTGTGGTTTTGATTTGTATTTTCCTGATCCTGAGGGATGTTGAGAATTTTTCCATATGTCTGTTGGCCATCTGTATGTCTTCCTTGGAGAAATGTCTGTTCATGTCTTCTGCCCATTTCTTATCTCGATTTTTTGAGTGTTGAGTTTGATAACTTCTGTATAGATTTTTAAAAAAGATATTATTCCAGTGTCTTATTTTGTTACCCTTATTTCATTACCCATAGATCCAGACCCACCATCAGATTTGATGATTTGGGGGCAGGAAGAAAACACAATATATTTGTCTTGGAAACTTCCACAAGGAGGCTTTGAAAAGTTTCAGGTAAATAACAGTGCTGCTATCATACAACATTGATGGTTAGTGGGATCTTTATTTCATCCTTTGTTTTTATCTTTTCTTTTGCATAATGATTTTGGAAACTTTTCTACTTCTAACATAAGATTTTCCTCCAAAGTAAATTTTCTATTTACTGCTTTAAAAGTACAAGGTTATCATGGGAAGTATTCAAATATGAATCAAAGCTGATACTTTAAAAGATTTCAGTTTTCAACAGAGGTAGACGTGTGCACACGTAGTACAAGGAAGGGAATAAAGGGACAATGGTGCTGGGGAGTAATGCTTCTGTGACAGCACTGGCCAACCAAAAATGTGAGCTGTTAAAGCTGGGTGATGTGTCATAGGCTCCCTTTTAACCTTATCCAAGAGATTTAGTTGAGTGGAGATTTGTGGCCAAGAAAGTGGGAGAGTAAGATATATGGAGAAGCCACTTTTCAACTCTATCTGTTGCTATTTGTAGTAAACATGTACATTTTTGTTGTCTTTTGTCATTAATAATGTAACCGAGCATCACATTAATATATCCACCCTGCATCCTACATTATATGGTTTACAGAGTAAGCTTCCAGAGACAACACTACTCCTTTGTATTCTGTGGGGGCAACCAACTTTTCCATACTTTCATAGCAGTAGGAGATGATAATTTGAGTTACAAATAATAGAAAACAATCTGACATAGTTTAAGCAATAAAGAAAACAAAATGCATTAATACAAGAGTGCTTCATGGAGACCAAGGAAAAGGGTATAGCTGGTTGTTAGGAAGACCTGTAATGATATATTTTATGCCTGTGGAGAATCCATGGGTTATTTTCTTTTTTGTCTACTTCTACTCATCTGCCTGACTTTTTTTTTTTTTTTTTTTTTCCTAACGACCAATTTTCTTTGCTAAGCAATCCATGTGGTGAGGGAAAGAATGCTGTATAAAACTTCTGAGTATAAATGGTGTGTTACCAGCCACAGAGAGACAGATTCTCCTTAAATTCCCATGGGGAGGACTGTGATTATTCCAAATTGGATTAGACACCTAGTACAGTTCCAGGTAACTGTGCTTATAGGTCCCAAATCGTGTAAAACATGGTGCCCACAGGTTTGTGAGGGAGAGGTTATAAAAACGATCATTAGATTTATGGGAAACACAGCAAAAGATGTTTCCTATAAATAAAAAATAATACAGAATTTAATAATTTATAGAATCAGTGTAATCTAAAAGGAGCCAGAACAATAAAATTATTAGATACATGATATGAACAGATTAGTACATCTGGGTTTTATATTTGAGTATGAATTTCTTGACAATTAAGGTCAGTAAGAGAAGCAAGATAATGGACTTGTATAAAATACAGAGTCTTTCAGTGCTTCCGCACTGTCCATCTAATGTGCACACGACTTAGTGTGACCTTCAGAGTCAGACTCTAACAACCTGTCTAATCTATTTTCTCAAGACTTCATATTTCAGCAGAATTATATTGCCTACAATTATCTACATATTTTGTGTTTTCTTGATTCTATTTCATCTAGTCATGTTCTTTTAACCAGAATACATTCTCTCCCGTTTTTCTTTGATAGTTCTTTAAGACCCTGCTCAGATATATTCTCTCTGTGAAAGTTCCCTTGAACACCAGTTATCAGTCTCCCACACCAGAAATTTTGCATAATCATTGACTTCTTTTTCTTTCATGTCCATATGTACTTGTTTACTGAATCCTGATGATTCCAACTTAGAATTATTGGGAAAATCCTACTTATTCTGTCCATTCCCTTTTTCTTTACCTATGTTCAGGCTCTTACCATTATTGTTGGCTCCCTTGTGCTCCAAGGATCAAGCTGACCCCAGGACAATCCTAAATCTACTGAAACTTCATCTTGTTTCTTTTCCCTGTATTCATCTTAAATTTCAGGTTCATATTGTAAATACATTAAACATCTTATTCTTACTCTCCTCAATAGTACACACCCCTTTGAGACTCATCCCTGTAAGTTATTTCTCTCTTTTTATTGGCATATTTTTATTGTCACCATATTTTGGGGGATGGCTTCCCCAGCTATTTCCAAAATAATTATTTTTTCTCTTCTGTGATCCATGCAATTTTCTGTTTATGTCTTTGTCATAGCCTTTATACAATATACTTGTTTTTAAAAAATTTTTTATTTGAGTATAGTTGATACATAACATTTATTAATTTCAGATATTTACCACATACTTGTTTTGATTGCTCACCAGGAATGTCTTTGGATGCCAAGGCAGAGACACAACAACACTTCACTAATATTCACAGCAAATCGAGAATTCCCAGAGGGGGATAGGCTCATATAAGGGTCCAATGAGGAGGGGAGCAAATAGAAAGGAAGAGAGGTTGCGTTTGGTTTTTATTGTGATTAGAGGATAGAGCTGGAGCAGGGGCTTCCTGGAAGAATTAGAAGCTGTGAGGTTTGAAAATTTTCTACTCTCAGAGGCAAAAGGATCCAAGTTTTTCTTATCTTGAGGCCCAGATGTAGGGAAGAATGAAAAGAAGGGTGGGGATCTCAAGGTTGTCAAGTAAAAAACGGAGTTAAACTCTTTATGTTATAGTACTTTATTAATTATATAGGATTAATAGAAATAAAGTAAGAAGGAGTTATCATTATTATTTTTTAAAGGATAGAGGTATGGTGTGTGCCTTCAGGCTGAGTTGAAAGATTCCTGGAACAGTAAAATTTCATTCATTCAACAAATCCAACATTCAGCATTAAAAAAAATTATTCCTTCAACAACAAATTCTTGTTTTGATGGTGCTTACATTCTAGGAGAATTGCAGATATGAGAAAGATAGTGACTAGAATGGTTAAAAAAGGCTGGAGGAGGGAAGATCAAGCTTAAATCCTCTGAAATCAAAAGGAAAGAGAGCATTATGTGTTAAAAGCCTGGTTGATTAACCAAGGAAAATTTTTAAATGAACTATCTTAAATGAAATTTTCAGGCTCAGTCACCAAGTATTATTAATTCCATTACTGTAGTATAAATTCCAGTTGGCTCCTCATGGTTTTTCAGAAAACCAAACCACCTAAAAGTTCTCTACCAATGTGAAATGATGGAGTCTGCCTGGCTTACAAGATCATAAGAGTCTATGTCACAGTTAACATAAGAAAACAAATATCTTATATTTCTGATGATATTAGTAAACATTGACTTCAACCAATTCTGCCTTTTTCAGAGGAATTAAGCTCATATTCTGATATGCTTATGCAGAATATTCTGGCAATAGATTTCATAATAGGAGTTTCTTTACAAAACAGAAATCCTTGTATATTTTTTGTTTTTTTTTTCTTTATATTTTTATTTATTTATTTGACAGAGAGATCACAAGTAGGCAGAAAGGTGGGCAGAGAGAGAGGAAGGAAAGCAGGATCCCTGCTGAGCAGAGAGTCCAATGTGGGGCTCAATCCCAGGACCCTGGGATCATGACCCGAGCCGAAGGCAGAGGCTTTCATCCACTAAGCCACCCAGGCGCCCCCAGAAGTCCGTGTTTTGTTTTTCTCGGCATTCTGAGCATTCAAAATATAAAGACAGAACATTTTATTAGTATTGACAAACTGTGAAATTCATTTGAACACCAAATATTTGTCTAGTGATTAATCCTCTGAAACTATTAGATTGCTAGCTTTCTTTTCATGAACACTGGGAGTGCAAAAAGATTTATATCCTTTCAAAGAATCTCATAACTGTAACAGAATTGAAGGTATACTCTATTCCAAGCATGAAAATAAACATTGGCTCACACACTTAAGATCTAAAAGAATTCAGTGTGAACTTAGAAAAAATCATATAGCTGATATAGGACATCACTGGAAGTTTGTGATTTCCCTTCTTAATACCTTTCAACTATTTTTTATGTACTCTGAATTATGTTATAGACCCGTACTGTCCAATAGAAATATAATGGAAACCATAAATGAGAATCATATGTATAATTTTAAATTGTCTAATAGAGACATTAAAAAAGTAAAAAGATACAAGTGAGGGGGCAGTCCAAGATGGTAGCATAGGAAGCTCCCGAACTCATCTCCCACAGGCACACTGAATCTATAGCTACATAAGGAACAGTTCCTTCTGAAAAAGACCTGAAGACTAGAAGCTCTAGAAGACCTGAAGCTCCTTTCCAACAAACAATAAAAGGGTCAGATTGAGATGGGTATGCGAGGCTGAGAGGCCAAAAACCCCATTCCTGCCATAGTAACCCACAATAGGGAAGGATATCACAAACCTGGAGCTTCTTCCTGAGAAGCAAAGTGTTCATACCCCACATCAGAAACTACAAGCCCTAAGACCTGTACTGGAATGATGAACTTCCAAAACATGTGGTTTTGAAATCCAGTGGGGTTTATGTCCAGGGGACCCAAGGGGCTGTAAAATATTGAGATACTGCTCTAAGGGCTCTCACACAGACTCATCCTTCCTGGGACCCAGCTGAAAGCAGCTGTTTGAAAAGCATCTAAACTATATATGAAAGAGATTCATTTGCTTATTTTAAAGTTTCTGTTGGAAAGGCAGTGGCCTCTTGGGACATTGCCCAGTGATAGAGGTCTTAACGGGAACCATTTTTGTGTTTTCCCTCTATCATGCTAGCATTGGTGGGCATCTGTAGTCCCTACATTTACCCACTGGCCTGGTAAAATCAGTAGGTGTGCCCCAGTCCTGTCCTCTCCTGCTAAGCTAAAGCCATAAGCATAGGCACTTAGTCCACACAGGGAATGCTCCTTGATGTGGTTCTGATCGTCAGGGTGTTTGTGTTTCTGGGTTCCATGGGATAGAAACAATTAGAAAGATAGTTTTGGAAGGACACAAACCCCAGGGCACTTCACAGATAACAGAGTAAAGCACACCCCCGTCTTGCTGTGAAAAAGGCCTATTTACTGGTCCTGGAGCTTCAGTCTGGAGGGCAGACCTTAGTTTGCCACATATTTAGAGGCTATGTGAGTGTTCTCAGGGAGCATTTGCTGGGGGAAG